ATCATGTATTCATGATTTGAATCCTGGGTTGTGTGAAATCCCAGGAATAAACCCTAGACAAAGTGAATCTGTGAACTAAGGTGTAGGTGTGTTAGGTTATGTTGTGGTGATCCTCATGTTGGGGGATTTGTGTTCATACTGGAGTGCAAAATTAAAACCAATGGAAGATGGACAAGAAAAGTTCAAAGCCATCAGGTGCTCAGTTTAGAAAAAAAGAGAAAAGAAGAGGAGGAGAAACGAGCAACAGATGCAGGTAAGCAGATGTGTGATTGGATAATGGCAGCTCATCCTGAACCAATCAGAGTCAGAATACTTTATTAATCCCTAAGGAAATTATGTGTGTTACAGTTGCTCCAAGAAGAAATGGTAAAAATAGTAACAGTAACAGACTAAACTCCAAACAATACATTATGTTACAGATTTTAATATTAATGAGTCGTTGTCAGTTGTTGATTTGTCCTGTTCTCATTGTATGACGAATTATGATGGCTGTTTGGTAGCCGTCTGCATACAACGCATACTCTCTCTCTCTTCATATGTGTGTGTGTGTGTGTGTTTCTGTGGTGAAATTCAGTATGGTTCCGACAACAGTTTTATGTTAATGTACAATCCTTATTATGTTTTGTGGGGGGGGGGGGGGCAGAGGGAGTGCTCGCCCAGGGCGCCAAACAGGCTAGGACCGCCACTGCCTGAAGGTCTGGATAACTTTCACACCTGAATATCTAAAAATGGATTAGAAACACTGTAACGTTACAGATTCATAATATGTCCTCCCTAAAGAAAAGAACATGAGGCGAGCCTAAGGTTATTAGTAGAAACTACTAACTAGTAGTAACTAGTTTGATCTGTAAGAGTCCTTCGAGAGGAGTTACATCTAAGCTAAACACCAGCTCAAACACAGTTGCTTCATCTGTTCACGCTGACTGTATGAACAGTTTTGCTGGCATGTTCCTGGATGACTTCCCATGATGCCACAGGATAGGTAAGATCAGACTAGTCAGGCTGCTGCATACACATACGTACTCATTCATGTTGTTAACTGCCTCTTTAATATCATAGTCTGAGAGCATGCAGACTTTTTACACATGTGGAGCAAGTGTGTGTGTGTCTTGTGGTTGCTGAGGTGGAACAACAGCTACCCCTGGTGGCCAGAAGGATTAACTGTGGCTGCCTGCTGTATGCATAACACCAAGATCATTTTATCATTCAGTTAAATAAATGTGTTCATATTATATTATTTTATTCTTTCAGAAAACAAAAGGGAGTATTTTTTAGAAACATTCCTTTACCAAAGCAAAAAAACAAAAAGAACAAATAAACAATGAAATTACTTCAAATTCTTTGATGCCTATTTTTACATTTAACTAGTCAATCACTACGCTAACCCCAACGGACTCTGTTTTATCGTTTAGCTAAAAGTATGAAGAGATTTACTTAAAGTTGTCTGATATTATATATGTCAGATGATGAAGTCATCAAAATGACACTGTTTAGAACAGGAGTGGGCATCTCCAGGCCTCGAGGGCCGGTGTCCTGCAAGTTTTAGATATCACCCTTGGTCAGCACCAGAGATGGGCAGTAATGCGTTACTTGTAATGCGTTACTGTAATCCGATTACTTTTTTCGAGTAACGAGTAAAGTAAGGGATTACTATTGCAAAAACGGTAATTAGATTACCGTTACATTCCCCTAGGCACGCTGCGTTACTGCGTTACTAAAACCGTGATTTTTTGCGAGAATGTCTCATGACAGTGACATAAGCGAGTGCGACGTTAGTGACAACAGCTGTGTGCAGATCAACAGTGGATCATATATCGAGTACGGAGAGAGTATGAGCGTGCAGCGTTTAAAGCGTGGAAGTACTGACCTTACTTTAAGTTTGATTCCATAAAAAGTGACAAAAACATTAGTGTCCGCTGTGCGTGGGAAGAAAACTTCTTTTTACAGCGAAAAAAAACCCCTAAACTTCCGAGCAAGCACCGAGTAGCTACGACGTAATGGGAAACTCACAGAGAAACTCACGGATTCTTCCACTGACCGCGGCACACCTGCACCAGGGTAAACCTCCGCCTGCCTCACTCCTGCTTTACAGGTGAAAATAGAGCAACAGGACCGCTGAGTCTTTGACTTTATTTATTTTCTGCTGTGTTTTACTTGAAATTTGAAAGACTGAGTGTAAACACAAAAAATATTTTATTTAGTAACGGGATTACTTTTTTGGGCAAATAATCAGTAATTAGTTACTGATTACTTTTTTCAAGTAACTTGACCAACACTGGTCAGCACACATGAAGCACACGATTAGTTCGTTACCAAGTCTCTGGAGTTCAGGAAATGTTGAGGAGGTAAATTAGCCATTTGAATCAGCTGTGTTGGCTCAAGGACACATCTAAAACCTGCAGGACACCGGCCCTCGAGGCCTGGAGTTGCCCACCCCTGGTTTAGAAGAATCAAAGACTGATGGTCACACCAGTGTTATGTAACTTGGTTCCCTAAAATCTTTTCCTACATTTCCTTATGTGATATTTTGTTTGCTGTAATTAGGTTGGTGTGTTTCAGTACCGGCTTTTGTTAGCTTTTTGTCACGGTTTTGTACAGAAAAATACCAAAATACAAGAAACTGAAAATGCTGGGTCAAAATGAGCCACAACTGTGACACTTTTATAACGAGTGCCATAAAATTTTAGCTTCATACTCAAAGTAAATTCATTAAAGTTGTGAAAGCCATTCCCCCTGCAATGATTCCGATGGCTAAAGCCAGTTTAACATGTTCTTCCTCTATAATTCGTGAATTTAAAGGAAAGGCATGCAATAATACATTTTTAAGGACAATTCTAACCAAACAACTTTTTCCTTCTCAATTAAAAAGAAAATATTTGTTTAAAGATTATAACTCGAGGTTTTTGACTGAGTATCTTTCTTTTCCAATTCCACCTAAAGCAAAAGAAAATCACTTTAAAATCTTAAATGCCATATATCCATCCAATGACTATCTTCACAAGAAATTCAATATAGATACGAACGCATGCACTTTTTGCAATACTGATATTGAGACTACAGAGCACCTTTTTTATTCATGTGAAAGTTCCAGATCTTTTGGGGATGATTTTCAGTACTGGTTAACCTCTAAAAATACTGCCCTTCTCTAACCTTTCAAGAAATTATATTTGGCCTACAAACAGAAAATAAAAAAAAATAGAATTTGGGATTAACAAGTTATTTATAGTTGCAAAATTTTTCATTCACAAATGTCGCTTCTTGAAAATTATTCCGATTTTTTCTGGTATTTAATAATGTAGTAATAATAATAATGGATTGGATTTATATAGCGCTTTTCAAGGCACCCAAAGCGCTTTACAATACCACTATTCATTCACTCTCACATTCATACACTGGTGGAGGCAGCTACGGTTGTAGCCACAACCTGACAGAAGCGAGGCTGCCATATCACGCCATTGGCCCCTCTGGCCAACACCAGTAGGGTAAAGTGTCTTGCCCAAGGACACAACGACCAGGACAGAGAGCCCGGGGATCGAACCAGTGACCTTCCGGTTACAGATACGCTTCCCAACCCCCTGAGCCACGGTCGCCACGTAGTCCTCCTATCCGGTTGTTCAGTGATGACGCGACGAATCCTACTTCTGGGTCTAAAGTAGTCTGCGTTTAATATGGCTTTTGTGTTGTTAACATGTTTAATGTTATGTATTTTCTTCTATTTGATCTCATCCTGCCATGCGATTACGTTTGTTCCTGACCACCGAGAACACTCACATTAACTTTTATCGAGTGGAAAAAAAGTTAGCTTGTTTATATTATGCTAACATAGCTGTGTCGCTAGCGGTCACGTAGCACATCATTATATACCAGCTAGCCCAACTTCAGTAACCCTACAAACGTCACTGCTGTTTAGTTTTCTGTCTTCATTTATGCTGGAAGTGATAACAGAGCTGTACGTTTGAATTTGTTTCCAAAACCCCGCAGTCAGGACATGCTATATTGTATTTAGATAGAAGCTAGCGAGCTAACTCCCTGCTAACTTCTAACTCCGTTAAATGTCATAAATTCCGTTTTCATGGATGCCTGGATGTTAAACTCAATTGTTACACCTGGTAGAGCAGAACGCTGATCATTTATTAAAGATGAAAGACTTTAGACAGTTTTTCAACTCTCAGTAATGCCATAGTGATCGTTTGATATATGGACCTGCAGCGGAGTTTAGGCCCAGACACGGCTAGTGACGTCAGACTGAACAACCGAAGGCTTCATTAGACAAGTGTAACTTAAATAAAGGTAATTTTTGATGCAGCTTTTCAACTGATGTAGCTAGACTGTGTGTGCGTACTTTTGTTTTTTTGTTTTTTACTTTTTTACTTTTATATGTAAGGTCACTTAATGTACTTGTGTGTTGCTTTATGTTATCTCTGACCTATACTGTTCTTTTGTTCTTTGTTCGATGGCTGCTTTGTTCTTAACCACCTGTACTTGTACACATCTTTTTGACTTGTAAGATATGCGCTGTAATTGTTAGTTTGTACAATTAAAAAAAAACATCAACGAAAACTAAACACAGGTTTATGTGGCTTAGGATGACGTCACTGGCGCTCATTTATTTTGAAAACAAACTTTCTAAAAAAAAAAAAAAGAACAAATAAATAAACCAGTTGGCTTGTACTCTTTAACGAGGACCAGAAAAAAACGTTGTGCAGGTTTTAGAAATGAGCTCTTCAACATAAAACCAAATGATAACAGAGGTGTATCATATTTACAAAGAAACTAACACAAAATATAATGTAGCTGAAACTGCCGTTATATTCTCAAATTCGCTGTTTTATCATATGTACCTGATAATCTGTGTAAACCACACATATTTGGAACAGACTTTTATTTTCACTTGACTACAACCTTTTGATCATTTACAGGCAAACTGCCTGAGAAAATGGCTCGTTTGTCTCATTTTCAGTCAGGCGTTTTCAGGCGGTTACTAGCTGTCAAAGGTGGGGTCCTTACGGTCCTTCCTTCCTTCCTTGAGCCGCTCCATCAGCCGCCTGACAGAAAACGACAACCGGAGGTAAAAAATCCAGATTAGCCCGAAATCCTCCAAAAGCCGAGCGGGTCTTTCGAGTTATGATGGGCGGAAGGACGAGTGCCATAGCGGCGGGTGTATGCGGAGCTCTGTTTGTCGGTTACTGTATTTATTTCGACAGGAAACGACGGAATGACCCGAACTTCAAGAACAGGCTACGAGAACGTGAGTGTTGACCTCCTCGCTGCTTTTTTCTCACCTTCGCCGGGTTCGCTGGTTCGGACACCGGGCGGTTTCGTTCGGTCCAGTTAGCTTGTCCAGAGGCTGTGGAGGAGCGCTACAATCAATTCAGTAAATTAAGCAAAGCATAGCTGGGACTTCATTCATGTTCTCACATCGTTAGGTTAATGGGTTTGTAGCTGACAAGCCACGATGTGACAGTAATCACATTCTTTGCGCCCTCCCTGGATCCTGAGCTCTTCCATCCTCTAAAAGGATCTGTAGAAATAACTGGTGACATGATTTGTAAAGGGGAGCATACGATTAGTGGCTGTGCTTCAAAACAAACCATTATTTTGGTGTTGCCTAACCCTATTTCGAGGCACAAAATAAAAGGCTTTTATATGGCTGTACACACATAAATATACTGAATATACCAGTGCCGGTCTAAAGTGTGCTACCTCAAACTTGAGCCGCTGGGCAGCTTATGGAGGCTGGATTCAGAGAACCTCAGTTGTCTCCAAGGCCACATTACCAGGTAGTATTTATATACGTCCAGGTGCTCATCCAGATTTGTCCTGCCAGCAAAACTCCAAACACTGTGAGAGAAAGGCTTTACTATCCTGTGATGTGACCTGCAGCACACACTCATTCACAAAGCTATTTCCATTTCAAGTAATTACACAACAAACATATTTAGCATGATGTCTTGTTAGCTGGGCTTCCAGCCTGCTGGAGATTATCGTGTTATTCCAGGAAGATTGGGCCTTGTTCCAGTTAGTTAATCCAAACATGAGGAAGCTCCAGGTTTTCACGTACATGGTAACAGACTCTGTGAGCAAAACCACAGCTCTGAGTTTCTTTCCGACTCCTCTGCTGCTCCTGGACCAGCTGACTGACACTGATGTTTGCTCGTTCATAGAGTTTCTTACAAACAACGACCCAGCTTGTATGTTTGCCATTTTGTGTTCTCACACAAGCGCAGAAGAGAGACGGCAGTTACACCACAGATTGGTAACATGCGCAGAAAAAGATCTGTATTGTGTATTTGTAGCTTTGTAACTCTGACTCTATCCACAGTAATGCTGCCTGACTTGTGTGAGCATCATATTCTGTCTATGGTAACGACACAGTGGACCAAGCTGATTAAAATAACTCTGTCCTGCGTGGTTTTTGAGAGAAATATGACCCACGCTGGCACACATTCATATTCCTCAGTCCTCTGGGTTATAATCAAGGCTTTACTGTTTATTTACCCGTTGCCATGGTGCACTCAGGTGTTCTGGGGGACACTAAAAGTTTGAAATTGGAGTTTGTTAAATTTGCTTCAGGGAATACGGCCGAAGCAGCAAACTGTGTATAAACAGAAATAAACACATTCCAGTTTTTGTATTGCAGGCAGTTTGTAATTGTTACCAGTCACCTGAACATGGTCAGCTGGACGACAAGGTGACAAATAATCACTGGCCTACAAAAATCAGGCCTAAATTTCCAGTAAATAGTTGATTTGAGGGAGCAGAAGCTGAACTTGGAGCTAGTTTAGCTTTAAGCCTATTTCTGTGTCTGTCTTATACTCGTAACTTTGTGAGTGTAGCAGCTACTGTCTAAGACTACTTTCTTGTTAAAACCAAGATGGACATGTTTTGAGGGCTGGAGCAACATGAGCAGTTTGTCCTGTTCTTGTCACAGGGAGAAGAAAGCAGAAGGCTGCCAAAGAGAGGGCAGGCCTGGCAAAGGTGAGCAGTCTCTACACGCCTGCACCTTTACATGTGCACACGCGTGCACGGAGCTGACCGTGTTTCTGTATTAAAGCTGACACCCACCACATTAAAGGACAACTTCAAACCAAAGCACTGATACTGACTCTGCTGTACAACTGCAAGCTACTTCACACAAACGTGACAGAAATCAGCTGTGACTGCTTACTGTGACTGTTGTGCAGCTTCCAGATCTGAAGGATGCTGAAGCCGTGCAGAAGTTCTTCCTGGAGGAAATCCAGTTGGGAGAGGAGCTGCTGGCTCAGGGTAATTTACTCTTTATTGAAACTCGTACCACTGAACTGGTCAAACGGTTTACTGCAGTACAGCCAGTGGTGACCTTGCTGCGGCGCTAAAATGGCTCCTTCCTGCTGTTGGGACACCCAGTATGGGTACAGACGCCTGCATGTGGAGCTTATAAGCTTTTGTTTCCTTTTGCTTTGACTACAGGAGACTACGAGAAAGGTGTGGATCACCTGACCAACGCCATCGCTGTGTGTGGTCAGCCTCAGCAGCTACTACAGGTGCTGCAGCAGACTCTGCCTCCACCCGTCTTCCAGATGCTGCTCACCAAGCTGCCCAGTATCAGCCAGGTTTGTGAATTGCTCTAGGATCAGTTATTATGACAGCATGCAGGACATGGAGTCGAGCAGTTTTAACTCTGGAGTCTTTGAATCATCTCTAAAGTGTTCATCAGTCATGCACACGTCAAACCATAAAGCCGAGGACCTTTGTTTCCTGTCTTGCAGCGTATCGTGAGCGCACAGAGTCTGAGTGAGGATGATATAGAATGAGAGCCCAGAAGAAGCCACCCCTGCTCCCCGTTTGTTCAACACGACCTGCCCACACCTCGGCCTCCTGTCACTTTCACCCCATCCAGCCTCCCTAAAGGGGTTCAGTTTCTCTTCCTTTGTCCATTGAAAGGTTTTCTTTTTGAACTTGTATTACCCGTTTTGGGGTATTAGGATATCTAAATCATGAGCCACAAAAAATGTAGAGAAATGCAATCCGGCCTGTCCCCGCTCCCAAATCCTCATGTATGTAATAACCAACTGGGCTGGATTCAAAGATGAATCCGCTCCTTCCTCCAAGGTGGTGCAACACACATCTGACAGGATTATGTACAAGGTTTACGCTGCCTGATGTGGTTGTACCTGCCGTCTCCATGACAACGTCAGTAGTATAAACCAGAATGTGCTCGGATGAGTATTTATTGTTTTGTTACGTCTCGTCTGTCTTTCCATTCTAGACTTGGAAACGCTTTTTTAGAGTGACGATATGTTTTGTTCTGTTTGAAGAGGACAGCCCTCTTTAGCAAGAATAAACCATCTGAACAAACCGCAGCTGTGTTGAGTGTTCAGTCCTGGTCACCCTGGCACTGCGCCTCAGAACAGTTTGAGGTCTTTATTAAACCGAGCAGCTGAACCTCTGTGCCAAAGCGCCCTGAGTGCTGGAGGTGCAGCTACTCTGTTCTAATGGTCCTCATCTACAGGCTGGTGGAGGTACAGGGAGGAGAGCAGGAGGCTGCTATGAACTGTGGCACGTTAGCAACAGTGACACGAGAGAACGATGCTGCACAGCAACCAACACACTGGTGGTGAGAAATGTCTCTGCTTTCTTTTGGAGAGAGGACGCCACCGGGCTCTGTGTCAGAGGTCACGACAGCATCTAAACTTCACTGACTCATCTGCCTTCAAAAATTATTAGTGTGGATCATTTGCTTTCAATAATAACCCGATTTAGAGGTTTTGCTGGTGATTTGCAAGGAAGAAAGAAAACAGTGACAATAAATTCAGACACAGAATAAAAGAAATGACGTATTTTAACCAAATAAGTGAAACGGTTACAGATCAAGTCCAACACAGCCCTGTGGGAAGGACCTGTGACTTTATGCTGGGCAGAGGAAGTTCTCGTTTAGCTGCCTGGATGTCAGCTGTGTTGGAGTCGGGCTCTGAACCTGCTGCTCTTCCAAACGACTCTGATCACAGCGACCACATGCTTTTTCTGTCCTCAGTTTAAATATGAACAGACTTTTCTGGCTTCACTCTCTTTTTCTTCAGTGCTTTCTTTTTAGTCTTTTTGTCTGGATCTGCCATCTCTCCTTTGAAAGAAGCGGAGCTTCTGCTCAACTTGCGCTGGTTTCCCATCACCTTCCTTGGGGACTTGAAAGCTCCTCGACCAGCCGCCCTCTCCCGTCCAGAACCCGTCTTCAGAGTCTTGCCGGTCTTCCTTGTTGTTGCTTTGCCATCACCGTTACTCTTCTGCTTCTCCTTCTTCAGTGACCTCTTCACCCGGATGGATCTGCCCTCCAGCTTTGAGCCGTCCAGTTTCAACGCCAGCTGCACAGAATCGGTACTCTGCACAAGGAAGACAAAATGAAGTGTAGAAACACATGGCCTACTTTGACCAAAGCACCAATACTGACGCTTAAAAACTGTAGAATGGAAAAACCACTGGCTGATGTCACACTGGCTATGCCCATCAATGGCACACAGTCTATTGTGGATTCTAATTTATTCTAATTCTGTGCTTTTAGACCTTAAAGTTCCCAAAGTATGAGTACACAGTATAGGTCAGCGGTCCCCAAACGGTCCGTGAGTCGTTTGGTACCGGGCCGCGAGAGTTGAGGCTCAGGTGTGAAATGTGTGGTTTTCAGGGTTTTTATTGGTTTTCAGTGTTATTTTGTTATCGTTTTATCGTTTACTCGGTTTTCCTGGGTCTTTTCACGTGTGTTATGAATAAATCTTATTTTTTTCGGTACCGGTACTAGTTTTATTTTGTTGTATTTATCCGCGACACCTTAAAGGCCGGTCTGTGGAAATATTGTCGGGCATAAACCTGTCCGTGGCGCGAAAAAGGTTGGAGACCGCTGGTGTAGGTGATACGGCCACCATCTGTCATATACACCTTTCAGGAGCATAAATCAAAGAGCGCCATTTGATTTAATATTTCCTGACTGCTGGTGTGGAAGTTTACGGCAGCTGCTAATAAGCTCATGCAGTGACACCCCCGAAACTAAACACAACATAAGGCACCAATTAGTAGAGCAATGCAATAGAAACCCCAACAATATGACAGTGGGAAGGAAAAACTCCCTTTTAACAGGAAGACAGTTCCTGCACATCCAGGCTCAGAGAGGGGCGGCCATCTGTCATGACTGGGGGGGGTTCATAGCCAAAGCTGTACTGTTTAAACATGGACTGACTTTTGTCACCAGCCATCAGAGGACAACCCTGCAGTGATGCGTATTCAGTTAGAAATCCCAAGCCTCGCCACAGGCGTCTCAAAAAGCAAAATATAAATGCAACTAGAGCTGGGCGATATGAGATTTTTTCATATCACGATATGTTTTTTTCATTTCAGGCGATAACGATATCTATCACGATATCAGCCAAATAACTATATTTGTAAGATTTAAATGTGCCGTTGCTCACAAGTAAAATGTGAAATAATCAGCAGCTTGTTTTTATTTAAATATTTATTTCTCATAATAAGTTCAACAGGGTAGATGTACTTAAGGAACATGAGACTTTTTCAGATAAATAAAGGCAAATATTGCAAACTACACAAAAGGCAGCCGCTAAGCGTTTAAGTTTCAAAATAGAACAAACGAAACAGACTAAATTGTCAATTCCACTTAGAAACAAAATATTAATTCTAAAAATAAATCTTAGTTTGTTTTACAGAAGAACAGACAAAACTGACTAACTTTTGTCAATATCAAATAAACTGAGAACTAAAAGGAAATTCTCAATCTCTCCTTGTTGTATAGCTTAGCTTTTCAAACAGTTGTAACAGTTACTTTAGTCTGACAAAAGCCGAATGACGAATTAGCGCTTCCAGTCAGAGACTGAGGCTACGTCCACACGTACACGGGTATTTTTGAAAACAGAGAGTTTTCGTTTTAAAAAATAATCCCGTCCACACATAAAGGCAGAAATGAAGGAAAACGCTGCTATGAACATGCCAAAGCAGCAGGTGGCGCTAGATTCCTAACTGTGCAGAAATGTTGGCCAATCAGAAGTCTAGAAGCCTCGGTGGGAAAAAGTAAACAAAGCTGGGGCATAGAAGCAGAACCGAGTCGTATGTGTGGAGGGACAGTAACTGTGTGTATATGTAAGCATTTAAACACTGCAGAGAGTAGAATTAACAGTATTGTAGAAATTCCATTTCACCGAAACAATAACGTGGCGCACAGTGTGACGTCACAAATGCGCGCACCTTTGACGCTGCGTTTTCTCCGTTTTTCTCGTCCACACGTAAACGCAAAAAACTGAGTTTTCAAAAATCTCCACCCTGGCCGGGAGTTTTTAGAAATCTTCGTTTTCAGTGACCAAAAACGCCGTTTACGTGTGGACGAAAGGTGCAAACGCATAGAAAAATCTGCGTTTTCAAAAATACCCGGGTACGTGTGGACGTAGCGCATGCACCAGTTTATTGTATTTCCAGACTTGCTTTCGGCACAATTTACCAGTGCACGCTACTCTGTTTTTTGTCAGACTTGAAATAGCCGAAATACCTTCACACTACGGAACTTCTGTGGCTCTTCCGTTCGACAATCTCTCCGGCGTTGGAACCATCATCTGTTTTCTCTTCGGTCACGCTCGGTTGATTTTTCTAGTCGGCACACTCATTTCCTCCATTACCCGGGCGGTACGGCGGCTTGGCACTTGTGCTGTACGTAACAAGTCACGTGACGTGACGCTGCGGCTGTGATTGGTTCGGCTCTGCGCTACTTAATTTGGATTGGATGTTTTTTTTTGTTTTGTTTTTTTTTTTAAGAGGACAAGAGCGCGAGGTCTATCGCGATAGTTTAATTTTTCTATCGAGAAAAGTTATATCGCGATACATATCGTTATCGTTCTATCGCCCAGCTCTAAATGCAATCCAATATTATTATTTGTTACTCCAGAACCACGATCGTCTCCGAGCTCTTGTACCTCAAACAGGACGTAACCAAATCCTTTCCCCAAGCCCGAGTTCTTGTCTCGCACCAGTCGCACCGCCTCCACTGTCCCACACTCTTCGAAATGCCTTCGAAAAGTCAGCTCGTTGATGTCTGCAGACACAGCAGGTTGGCTTGAGCTTCAAAACTACTCACTCATGGACAACTACACCTTTACCACTGTCTGGAACTCTACAGACGAACTCACCAAATGAGAGATTCCCCACGAAAACAGAACGCTTGTGGTCGTGCTGAAAGAGAACAACAGGATTTCAGTTTAACTCCCAGGAGACAGATACAGCAGAGCATTCTGGGACGTCTGCTGACTCACAGATGAGCTGTCGGCCACTCTGTCCACTCGGATGTGAAAGTCTTTCTCTATCTCCATGCCATTCCTGTGAGGGCAGACAGACAGAGCTCTATCAGCACGTGTATGTTTGGGTCTTACAGCATTAGCAGGTTTCAGGAGGAGCGTCTGACCTCTCCAAAGCTTTGGTGATGCCATCTTCATCTTTAAACACTACGTAGGCATTGATGCTCTGCTTCTTTGGGTGGACTTTGCGCCTGCGAAGTGAAAAGAAGCTGTTTGGTACAAATGGAAAGGAGTCAACTGAAACCATACTATTAGTTTGTTGGTGGAACCTAGTGAAAGCTCAGGATTAAAAAATAAACAACTTTTAGAAACTCACTTGATAGCAGCTACTTTACGAGACATGGAGGGTCCTCTCTGACTGTTGGAATGAAACACAATGTTACTGAAGACGAGAAGCTGCAGCAACCTGGCGACTCTCTCTTTCTTTCAGAGGTGTTTTTACCACAGAGCGAAAGCGAATAGATTCGATGGATCCTTTATCCCTGAAGAGGCTCCGCAGGTCTGAGAAGGAACAAAAAAGGTTGCCAGTCTTTGAACTTCCACATTATTATTGTCCTAGAAATACTGCAATTATTGCACAACAAGCAATTTGCACGTCTCCTGAAAGATCTTGGAAAGAGCCACAGTACAGTTGTGTTTTCACTCTGTCACATAAACACCTGCTAGAAGCTAAAACGTCCAACAAGCGTTTCCAGAGGTTGCAGATCAGACCGGCTGCCTCAGCTTAGCCAGTTTCTCCTTGTTATCGTCCCACAGCTTCATCCACAAGCCTCAGTCTGAGGTCAGACCGTTGAGGCTCAATACTGACTGTGTACAGCGTCTCAGTGCATCTAAAGTGCCATCTGACTCATGACCATATTTGCTCCTGTTACTGCGCCTACGTGACTGAACGAGGGTCATTTAAA